TGTCTGTGTGTGTGTGTGTGTGTGTGTGTGTGTGTGTGTGTGTGTGTGTGTAAAGATGATCATGGCATAATTTAAACATTTAAATTTAAGCCCATTTTTCAACTTCCCAATAACGCTTGAATACGATTTGAATGACCTATGTTTAAATTCGTGCCCGGACATATTTTAAACTTCGATCGTTTGCTTAGCAATTACAGTTCAAACTTCACTGGGGCTACTATATCGGAGAAGAGATTGGTGAGTGTTAAATAAGATTAAAAAAAGATAAGATACATCTTTATTGTCCAGATACTGGCATTATGGTTTGGTATTTCACCACGTGTACACACACACACACACACACACACACACACACACACACACACACACACACACACATACATACACACCCCCCCCCGACGACATCAACATGTTACACACACACGTAATCGACTGCAGATTGTACATGTAGTGTGTAGGTGGGCGTCGCCAACACTTCAAGCCTCTTTTTTAAAAAGAGTTTTAAAAAAGGGTTCCCGTGAACGAGAGGTGGTGTTTGGCTCTCATTCAATTGGTCCCGGATTCGAATCTGGACTGCAACGGAAAATGTTCTTCTCTAGAATGTTCTCCTTTCATCTCTCTGCTTTCTCGCTCTCTAACCTTGTTGTGTCGTCTGTTTTCACATCCACTTCTGCCCCCTCCTCTGGGCTCCTGACTCATTCTGCAGCCTTTCTACTGCTTCTCCTTGGCTCCTTCTTACTGCTATCTTTCAGCCACACCCATGATCTTCTGGTTGGAAAGATCTACACCTAGACTCCTTGGACAAGGGCAAAAAATCTCAGTAGGTCCTGTGTGCAAGTTGAATACTTTAAAGATCCCTTGGAGGTAATAAAATCGATATATTATGCAGGCTTCGGCCACCATCCATGCAAAATTCAAAATTTCCTACCTACTGAAAACGTTTAATGTGTCCCTCACGCTCATATGACCTTATGCAGTAGCGAAGACCGTAAAACACTTACAACAACAACAACAAAAGAGTCAAAAGTGGACGTTGGCTATAAATAGAAAAGGTTGACATGCCCTGTCTTAAGAACCAGGAGACTGCTCGCTACCCTAGAAATACAAAGCTGTATCTACCATCTTGTCTTAGCGCACAGCCATGATCATAGCTAGCTCGCCACCTCAGAATTACAAATTTCTATTCGACATGTCTGTCCGTTTTGAGTTATTAAGACCATGAGGTCAGAAACCAAAATTTAATATATCTGCAGTATCAAAATCGTAATATTGTTTGAAGTTGTTATCAAGATATTCAAAGAATTGAATTCGAAAAAACTTGACAAGTTGTGGAAGTCAAAATCTTTAACGTGGGAATTCTCAAAACTAGGAGAGTAGGGTTGCCCTTGCTCGATCCACTTAGAAAAGGGTTGCGTTTTATTTGTTTTAGAGAGGTTTTACGGCGCTCACAACTGCATAAGGTCATATGAGCGCCAAGGGGTTGATGTCAGCAGAGAAGTCCTTACAGGGAATCAGGCTTACTCTGCTCAACTCTCTAGCTTCAACACTGCTTTGACTATTAAGGCACCCCTGAAATAGCGCGTCCCAAGAGAGTGACAACATACGAAAGAAGCAGCGAAAAAATGACGATAGTAAGGATTAGGAAAGAAAAAGCAGCAGTTTCCAGCTGTAGTTCAGGCACAGTTATGAGCATGACATTGATGAATCAGCCCATTTACAATTCTACTGTGCATAAGAACAAGTTAATGTTCCCCATTTGGGAATCCAAAAGACATTTCAGTCAGTGGCACTGCCCGGTT